AATTTGATTTCCTCACATTTATTTGAAGTGAGTCTAAATATTAGGAGATGAAACTTAAGCAGACATCTCATTTTTCCCCTCTGGCAGAGCAGCATGAGTGTAGGGCATCTAACACACCAGGCATGGCCCTGACAAGGATTGAATGCTGCCTATAATGGTTTGCATTCTGTAATTGTTAGTGTACTCTCCAATACTATTTTTCTGTTTAGTGCTCTCCAAAACAGTTTCCAGACTCAGTACAGTGCCCAGCACATTGCAGGGACTATCCAATAAACAAGTTATATGCAAACATTCTGATGTAGAGGAGCAGGGAGAAGAGTTTCTCTGTGGACCAGAGGCTTTGCTTTTTTTTTCCCCCCAGGAATAACCTTTGTCCCTGTTCTAGATGTGGTTTGTGTTGTCTCCCTCAGTTTTTTGCATTCCCTAAGAAAGTTATACAGTGTACAGTCCTTCTGCAGAAGCCATTCTGACACACTGTGCTGGAGCTGTGACCTGTTGCAGTGTGTCTGGACCACTTCCCTGGGGTACCTGCTGCCTCTGCTCCTGTGCTGGTGCTTTCTGGAGGAGAGGAATGAAAGCTGGCAGTGGATAGGCAGAGAGATCAGCAGCAGCTATGCTTATAACCAATTCCTGACACTTCTCTGCTTCCCAGCATCGTGCTCTGGTAGTGTGTATCCAAACCTTACACTTGAGGCACTCCCAGAGATGTCTCCAGTAGCTTTTAGCTGTGGTACCTGTGCCCAGTCCTTTCTGTCCCTGAGGCACTCTAAGTGCTTAACTCAGACAACTTGAACCTGAGATAATAAACTGAAAATACATCAAATGAAATAGCTCTCAATTTTGGTCAGTTTCTGAACTTCAGGAAATACTTTGCCCATAGTAATTTTGTCTTTACTCCTACCCTCATTTATTAGGAGTTTGGTTGACTTAGTGGGATGAAAAAGGCTGGGAAGTAGATTGGAGTATCCATTTGGACTATTAAAAAGTCAAGCCCTCCCCAAAAGTATTCAGTTACAAAAATGTTCAAAGTATTTTTCACCTTTCTTTCGTTTAAAAACTAAGCTGGGGTCAAGGCCTGTGCAAACCTGAGGGTGAATGGTTCAAAAACATAATTTTTGAATCAAGTTATTCCATCATTTTGACATGTGGCTGTTTAGCTTTTTCCAAGCAGACTTCTCTCCTCACTGCAATGTGTCTTCTTGGTGTTTATTTTTCTAACTTCTGTAGAAAAATGTAAAATAATGCTTATTATAGCAAGAACCAAACTCAGCTCTCATACTAGAGAGCAAGTGGCTGCAGCCAATGAAAGCTTTTCTTAAATATTTTTGTTAGAAGAGGAATTAGCTGGCAGCTAGCATTAAATTTTTGTTCTCATATTTTCCAGTCTAAAGTAACTGGCAACAATTCCTCTTGCTCTGTATCATCTGTTTGCTGATCTTAATGACTATATAAGGCAACACGGCCTAAATTAATAGTTCTGAGCATACTTGTTTAATGAGTTTACCAGTCTCATATTTCAGAGGAATGCCTGAAGTTTTTGATCCTTCAAGAGTTCTTACATTACAGGAAGCTTTTTGCATACAGTATTTTGTTGTTATTATTGTGAAGAAGGTACTAAAAGCTTATAAAAAAATGTCCACATATGTAGGAGATTTCAAGAGAGAGAAATATGTGCATTCTGGTGTTTGAAGTAGTCTTTTGAATCTCTGTCAATGCCAGAGAGAAGGTAGCACTGTGTAAATAGTCAGGATTTGTAAGGTGGTTTGCATACTTCTTGTTATGTTAACATTATGTATGTTTACCAGATATTTGGCTTCTCTGATTTTCAGTTATCTTCTAGGGCAAAGTTTTGGTTCAGTTAGAGATGTGCACATGGCTTATGATTGTACTGCAGATTGTTAATTTTCAAACACTTGTTCAGTGTCACACTAAGTATTGAAGGCGTATCCTAACCCAACCCTTTTCTCTTAAAAAAACCCAGCCCTTCCAACAAAACAAACACATGAAAATACCAATACCATTGTTCTAAAAAAACCCAACACAATGGCTGGAAAACAGGATGTCTTCCAGGAAAAGTGGGCAGCTCTTCCAAAGCTTTCATTTTTAGAGTCACAGTTTTGCCTTCCCACTTGCTAACTCCAGCACTGTTCTCCCTCTACACACCTTACCAATTGGATCTGTCCTTTAGTTTTGATTTATTTTTATTTTGGTTTAGTTCCATTTAATATTGGCTGCCTTTGGAAAACTGGCTGGGTGTGACTTTCAAAATTTTAAGTACTGATGAAAATCAGACTCAAAAGGAGTGCTTGCAGCAAAAATGAGCCCTAGAGAAATGACTGGGGAAAAAACATAAAGTGGTTATGTAGAATGCAGAAGAATGTTGTTTTGAATTGCATTTAGTTGATCAAAATGCCTTCAGAACATATCAGACTGTAAGTATCTTGGCTTCAAAACTCTGTAACCTCTTTTAAAGGGGTTTGTGGGAACACCTGGATAAATGCTGATACATTGGTACAGTTATAATAATATGTTAAGAATTAGTTTTGTTGCTTATAAAGTCAGAGTGGTTTGCACTGGTACTCATCATGCTTATATTTTTTCAATTATTTGAAATTTTGATAGCTTATGGGATGTTTTAAGGACTATCACAGTTGATGCTTTCACAGTACCATGTTCTTTTCTCCCTGTACCCTCCCATTTGGTGTTACTGTCTCTTTTACACCAGTGTTGAAACTTCTGCTCCTGGAGTAAGTTGGTTAAGGGATGTAAGCTGGCAAGAAGTGCCTGGTTTCCTGTTCTTCAGGTGTATCGTAGCATCCTGAGCTGGCTCACTAAAGAGCCTGGAGAGTGTCAAGACTAGTATGAGGATGTAGACTGGTAGAAAGCAATAAAAACTAGAGAGAATTGGCTTGAACTGAAGCTGTGAATAGCTGACTGTGGTGAACAGCAAGATGTGCTGGATTTGTGTCAGTTGTGATCCTTTCCCTAGTCACTTTATCTCAGAAACCTGTCTGCTCTGTCTCTTACACCCTCAGCTATATACCTTATCTGTCTAGCAGTTGTCTCACTTAAATCTTCAGAGAGTTACAACTGAAAAATTTCCTACTGTTAAACACAGTTCCTGTGCAGACATATGCTGTATTTCCTAGAGCAATGCTGAAAACCAGCATGATTGCTCCTTTCTATGGTATCAAGCCTTGCTCGAGGGGCTGAGCTGCTTATATATTTACTGGAGAGATACACTGGACAATGTTACTTACCAAATTATTACAATAATGTTAGCACTTCTGCATTGTAGTGGTAGTGGGCTATGCTCTGCTGACCATTCACAAGTAGCAGAAGAGGGTGTGTTGGTCCCCCTCTTGTAATAGGTTTTTGAGAAGAATCACACCTTGCCCCATGGAATTGTATCATCGTGGCCTGTAGTAGAG